GGACCAAAAATCTATCCCATTATATGTTTATGGCCTCCCTAAAGATGCTAGCTGAATGTTGAAGAGGGAAAATTATGGATCCAAGGATGGGCAATCAGAAAGCACACATTTGTTTACTACTTCTTTGTACCCCTGCTCATGAGTGGATGCAATTATTTCTTTCCCTTGTCTTTCCTGTCACCCATAGATTGCAACCACTTTTGAAACTTTCTACTTTGCTAGTACCTGCCTGACACTGCAGTGCCCAGATGTGCATTCATTATCCTAATGCTGAATGTTAGATTTTGTAGACAAGGCTTGTGCTCTGAGCTGTGCTGACGTTGCATAAGTAACTCCAAATTACCCAGGCTGCGTGCCGGTCAGTTCTGATGAGAAGAAAGACTTGTGAAGGGTGCTGCAACTGATGGCAAGAGGGAGCTGCTCTGAGTTTCTCTAATTTTAACCAGCTGAGACTATGGTCACTTCAATTTTCTTGCAGACTGCTGTCTGCACAAACACAACTGAAAATTGGGTGCTGTGTTTCTGAAACTTGCTGATGTCGTGTCTTATATACCCCTACAATATCTTGCTATCTTGGAGAATAATTACACTGCATTTATGCATATGTAGGGTTAGAAATGGAACAAATTTGAGTAAAGAAATTCAAAGCAAAGTCTCAAAGTAGTGCCATGTCTTCGTGACCTCCATGAAACAACTCTAGAAAGAGAGGAGTGGTATGAAACCTTCTCTGCTACTCTTGGTCTCTACTGGTATGTGCCAACTCGTGCCAGCATTGAATCCTTTTTGGAAAGATGCATAGTCATAGGTGTGTGCAGTCCATGGATCCCCTAAGGGCAGAGACTCAAGTGGTACCTGACTCTTATACACAGGGGTGAAGAGTTATGTGCACATGTGAAAGGGGTGGCTTGAAGTTAGATAGTGCTTGTGTGCTGAACCCACAGCGCTACCTAACTGCCCTACAGCTCTAATTAGTGCTCAAAGCTGAAGATAGGTAGTTATTTACTAATGAGACATTTAAAAAAGGCAAATAGCTGGCCAGGGTTAGGGTAGGCACGTCCTCTTCCAAACCGCTGCTCAGTCAGCCATGGTTGCACTTCTTCATGTAATCAGAGAAGTGTGATCAAGGGATTTCTTTTGTGGTTTGGGGAACTTTTGGCCATGCATTGTGTTTTCTGCCTTAATCCTGGACTACCTTTGTCCTTTGAGAGGGGCTTAATTTGAGTGCTTTATTTTGCAAGCTTCTTTACCTTCCCTTTCTCATCGTGGCAAACTCATAGTACTCACCTGGTTTATCATTGCTTTTCTTCTTCTAGTGTCTTTCTTGTGCTGCAGCACTGGCGGAGCTGTGGAAGCATATATCCAGCTGTTTCCCTTAGTTCCCATTAGTACCTTCTATACTGAGTAAATACCTTCACATATGATCTCAATTTGATGAAAGAAAAGCTGGTTCTTTAGTCTAAAACATAGCTTCATTGGTAAGGACCTAGGGTTTCAAGAGTGTTGTAGCAGATGAACCTGTGTGGCTCAGGGATGGAGTAAGTTATCTAATAGGCTTCTTCCACTGTAAGCATCTACAGTACCATGATTTTTTTGCATCTATGCCCAAGGGTTGTTGTGATTTTGTTGCCCTTTATGGGAGGAGTTGTTACTCAGCTTTACTAAGCTTGAACAGACTAAGCTCACTGTGGTAAGGCTGGGGCCATTTTCTCAGCACTTCCTTTCCTGCTCCTTTTAGGTTTTTCTCCTTCTTGCTATGCCAATGAACCTTGAGGTTGTCCTATGATCATTTTGAGTGACAGCTGATCACCAGTTTCTTCCAGGAGCAGAGATTGGTGAAGGCTCATTTATGATGGAAGAAAAACAAGCTTAGTTACCTGTAACTTGAATTCTTCATCCCTCTAAGTATATGGCCTCCAGAAAGGTTTCCCTCTTCTCTCTATCTGGCTCCATTTCAAAGTGCGGTCTGGGCCAGGGGCCAGCAGGTTGATAAAGCATTTTAAAGAGTAACTCGTGTAGCTGATTTCAGAGCCCTCTCCTGGCTTTCTGGGGATAGTGCAGCCATTAGCAGCAGCACATCTTTTGGCAGGGTGCTGAGCCATGCACCGTGATGTCAGACTTAATGCTTTTGGAGGCAGTATATTTAGAAAGTCAAGTTATAAGAAACTTTTGTTGGCTTTCTGCTGTCTATGTTTTGCCATTCAATACATCCCTGAAATGTGATCACTGCTTGCTTGCTTGCCCCATGTGCCTATGGGCTCTTTTATAATCTTAAGTTATAAGCAGCAGGTAGTACTGTTGCCTATTAAGCTCTTTACATTTCTATATGAATGCAGTTAAATATTTTCTTGTGCTGATTATAAAATTTAGAAGGAATTTTTGTGAGCCTCAAAAGCTTTTTACAAAAGTCCAAACCGTGAAATTCCAGTTTAAACAGGCTAGCCAAGCAACAGCTTTCATCCATTACTGTTTTGCGGTGACTTTGAGGATCCATGACCAAACCTCTGATTTTAACAGGCAGTCCTCATTGTGGCTTCTGTTGCCATGTGGTCCCACTTCTTAATGCAAAGAAGTGGCTAAACATCAGCATTTCCATCTGCAGTCAGTTCTGGGCACTTACTGCTCCAAGTCTCCAGACCAGGATTTACTTGGATGGCAGTTCTCAAAGGCAAATATTATTATACCCATCCATCCTTTCACAGATGGTTGAGCAGAAGCAGAGGGAGTTAAGGGAATCCAGCTTAGGTCAGTGTAAATCCAGAATTTAGATCCTCAGAAGTCCTGTTCAGCTGTCACAATTGTCTCAGAAGCTGGCATTAGAGAGTTTCACAGATGCCTAGCAGTTTTCTGCTGGAAATACAGCAGGGGTGAGTAGCTCGTGTCTGTCTAGAAAGCACACTTAGAGTATTCCTGTCCCTCAGTCCCACACACACATGGCTGTGACCTCGGCCTTTTTTCAAGAGGAATAGGCATGTGGGGCCTGGGAGATGGACTGCAACCTCAGCTCCCCCGCCATCTCTCTGGGGAAGGGCTGGGTAACTGTATCTGCTCCCACTTGCTTCTGCTCTGCCCAGTCAACCTTGTTTTCATGCACAGTGAAACAGCCCTGAAGGGAGCACTGGGAGCACCCCAAGTACAAAGGTGGGTCATCCACTTGGGCATTCCCTCTCTGAAGGGGACAGGCTTGACTCTCTCCACTGAAGCATGTGATTGAACCTGATTTACCTGCCTCCTGGAGTCCTTTAACCGCTTAGCTGTAGTGTGAAAGGGGATGAGCATTCTCTTTTCCTTTGTCCTATGACAGTGTTTTAAAATAAAAGCCCTTGTTTGTCTGAAATAAGGCTTGTTTTCTGGAAGACAAGGCATGGGCACCTATGATAGGAGAGGGATTGATGAAGGAAGGTGTCTCCATCCAGCTCTCAGTGAAGTGTGTGCATCTCAAATGAGTTGCATCCCTCTCTCCTCCAGATTTCCTAGGAGGTCCCATTCTGAAGCTGAATTCCTGTGCTACACAGGAAGCCTCTGTTTCTAACTCCTCACCTTCAGTTTTGCTGTGGGCAGCTTGCTCGGCAGGTCAGGTCTGACATTGTTACGCTCTGTGCTCATTAAGGCCACAGTCTGGATATAACTGGAGCGTTTGAACTCAGGTCAGTGCTGAGTCAATGCCAGTGGCACACTCAGAGCTGCTCTTTCCATATGTGGCTTATTCTCTCCACAAAGAAATATGCCCCTTGCAATGAACGACTGTGGGCAAATCTTTGTGGCAGCTGGGACTGAACTGAGCTAGAGGGTTTGACCTACTGCAGTAAAGTGAACAGAGTTTGACTTTATGAAAAGTTCACAACAGAGATATATTACTGACTTCACTGAAAATGAAAGTACTTTGGCTGAGCTTTTTATTGTAGGGCATAATCTGTACTTAAGTAGTCTCTCACTGGATGGTGCTATACATTACTGATGGAATCGGACAGGAACTTTGGGGTTGCAACTGGCAGAACCACAATCCTCAAAGCCACTGAGATGGTTTTTGGCCTTTTTCCTTCCCCAGTCCTCTTGTGAAGTGTCCTGTGGTCTTGGAACTTACTATTGCAAGCTGGAAGGACTCTGGGGACAGTTTCTCTTATTTCTTAACATCCTGGTTTTTTTGTGAGGCATAGTCCCACCATCCACTTCCCCAGGACCTCTGCCCAGTGTAGATCACATAAGAACATGTTTTACTGTAGTTAGAACCCCTTGACATGAAAGCTTACTAAGGAATACTTCTACTAAAAAAATCACTCAGACAGTCCTCTTGTATTGCCATTTAGATCTATCATTCTGATTGATCACTATGTGGTTGGCTAATATTGAGCCTAATTTAACCCTATATGCTCACGCATCCATCTATTCTGTCTATTGTACCTGACATTCTACAAATTACTTACTCATGCAAATGATGACCTAAGGCAACCTTTTATGATATTTGTGTTAAATTATACAAATGGTTTTTGATAAATAAGATTATACATCCTTCCATATGTTTATTCACTCCTTGATGAAAGCAAAATTTAATTTTCATGCAGATTTGTTGGAGAGTGTGTTTAATAAGTGCTGAGTTTTATGTAGTCTGCAGATCACTCTGGTTTTGGTAAGCTGACAAAATCAGTAGGCACAGTTCATAGAGACATGTGGTTTTTAATCAGGCCTAATTCAAGCTGCTAAATTTTGAAATCTTGGAACTGAAGCCATTGCCTTTGTGCTCATGCAATAAAGCAAATGTTGCTGTGAAAATAAATGAGAGATACTGCCTTAACTACACTTTTCAATGGTCTTTATTTATATTATGGGTTACTCATAATGTTGCCAAATGATTGGTACGCTGATATATTTTAAAGAGAGGAATGTACCTATAAAGCTTTCTGGTTTTAAAGATTAACTAGAGTTTTGCTTATGCAATTCAGTCAAGTTGAGCATCACTTGTGTCACACAGTGCCAGGCTGAATTCACTAGGGCTGCTTGCATACATGAAGGAAATGAGTAAAAAGGAGAAATTGGCAGGACTGAATATCAGTATTGTTGTTCAGATGTCTTTGGAAACATTACCACTGTTGATCACAGCTTCTGAAGGAGTCCTCCTTGTATGGCATGACACAGACAGTGGTGGTAATTCCGAGTTTGGGGATCAGGTATGAAGAAGACACATGAACACGCACTGCCTGAGACATGAAATCTGCTTCTTTTCTCTGAATGTAGCAGTGGGAAATATTTCATTCTTCTGATAGAAAGTCACTGGATCAGTACAGGTGCTGGAGGGCAGTCAAGGGATATTCTCCATGGGCGTCATTGCACTGTTGTTTCTTTTTTCCAGTGTCAGTACAGCTGCAGTAGCATCCCTGTATATCCATGTATGTTTGTAGGCTTGAGCCCTCTGCTAACGGTGTCTCTGTTTTTCTGTGCCAAAGGTGTGGTCAGTAAACTCAGCAGGCCGGACGCCGAGCGGCTGGTCCCGCTGCCGGACAGGCCCTGCCCCTCCTGAGGGCCTGGGAGCTCCTCTCTTCAACACGGTGGCATCCACAGTGGCTGTGGTGAACATCAACCCTCCTCTTAAGCCAAACGGGGTGGTCAGTATCTACAGGCTGTTTTCTAATGATACCAGAGGGACTGATGTGGTGGTGAGTACTGACAACACTGTTTCTATACTTCCAGCTGAGCTTGTATTTTCCAGCTGCTACTGCTGGTTGCAGACTGTCTTCCCCTCCTGCACTCCAGTGATTAACTGCTCTGCAATGCTCTCTTCTGGCCAAAGTGCCACCAGCACTTTCACCCACCTAAATGTGCTTCTCAAGGAACTAAGCTCATCATTAAACCCTTCTCATGTGGTGATGTGCTGTGACAATGTGATGTGAATCAGAAGCATTGTTCAGGGGGTGGCTGACCATGCAAACAAAACACCTCCAGACAGCTCCTGCCAGTCCAAATGGTGCAGGTGGAAACTGCAGCCAGTAGGTAACAGTTGTGTGCTTTGGATAGCCTACAGACTTGAAGTTCAGAAGAAAGTGCTGTACAAGAGTTTCCCTTAAAAAACTTTCCTGTTGGTAAGAAGTATTTAATGATTGAACACTGAAGAATAGTGCAAATAGCAAAGGAACTTTTGTGTTTGGTATCTCAGCCTAGACATTAGGTGTCCAGAAATGACTGATCTCAGCTTAGGAAATCTACAGGGCTTCATTAGCAGTACAAAATAGGTAGATGTGAGGAAAGGCTGGGGCTGTGGAAGGTGCCTGGAACAGTTATCACCAAATCAGTGCAAAATACTTGAGTACTTCTTTGTCTGTAACACTGTCTGTTCATTTTTTCACAAGTAGGCAAAGAGAATTTTTTCCCTTGTCGCATCTTGCTCAGCTTGGAGTGCTAGGGACACCTTCCCAGGTCAACAGTCCTTTCTGTGAGCTTAAGTTGCCTACGGGTTGCACATTACGTATTTATTCCTTCCAGTGCAATTGGCTGTGTTTGTGTCTGATTCAGCCAGTTCATCTCATTGGTGCCTGTATGCCCCTTGATTTCCAGCCCCTCACACATCTCTGGCTCTGGCATCAAGAAGTACCAAGTGCTTGCTTGCTTGACTCTTTCCTTTCTATTTTTTTTACTGCACTCTGCTATATTACATGCTGCCAAATAGGAACAGATGTTGCCTCTCATTGGTGTTTTCTATGTATTTTTATTTCTTTGGCTTAATAAGCTATACTTGCAAACAACTACAGCAATGAGGTGAAGTGGCAGTTCCTGTGAGCAGTTTCAGAACAAGGGCACCATTTCCTTTGCAAGAACTGCCAGGTCTCCTTTGCTGAGCGTAGGAGAGTTTCCTAACAGGCTTACTCAGCACTATGGCCATTTGAATGCAGAAACGCATCCTGTTGGCCCTCAACTTAGAGGTACCTACCATAGAGCACATTCTCCTGTCTGGGAGTAAGCTGATCCACCAGACATTTTCATACCACTCTGCCCAGTGCTATGTCCTGTACTCACATTGAGAAACCTTGTGAGATACTCATGAGTATTTGCTAGCCCACTTATCATGGAGTTATTTTTCCACATTAATTTCTTTTTGCTTCAGTACTACTTATCCCAGCATTTCTCTTTGAAGTTCTTCTGTTTCTCTGTTCCTGAGAATGCCATTTGCAAGTTGACACACAGTGGTCACAGCTCAACTTAAGTCATCTGTGAGGCCACTGATGGCATGGTCTTTTCCTTTGAACAGTGCCCTTTAACTTCATAATGAGAGAAAAATGAGTGCAGAGTTCCCAGTACACAACAGCTGCATTAATGTCAAACTTAAAGGACATGCAGAACCTTGTGCCTGTCTTCTTCTGGAGTTAATTCACCTCCGTAACTCTTATTTAGTACCTGTGGTGCTTGAAGCTGTGACAAGTTCCCTCTTAATTTTTATAGCTGTCAGAAGGGACTGCCACCCAGCAGACAATACATGGGCTAAAACCTTTTACCACATACTCCATTGGCGTAGAGGCCTGCACCTGTTTCAACTGTTGCAGCAAAGGACCCATGGCCCAAATCACCACGCAGCCGGCTCCACCGTCGGAGCAGCCTCCTCCGCAGATCCGCACCGTGACCTCCAGGAATGCCTCTTTCCAGTGGAGTGCTCCTCAGTCACCGAACGGAGTTGTCACCAGGTAGGAGCTGCCACCCAGCTGAAACTGCCCACCTTGGCTAGCAGTGGTGACAGAACATTTTTCCTGGACATCAGCTGGAATTGCAGGGCTGAGAGTACTGGAAAGTTGTGACAGTCATGCTCCTTCTTCCCAGTGTTGGTGGTGATATCCTGTGTGGCCCAAATACCATCTAGGAAGCATTTAAACACAACGATTGCTTTTCTCCTGAGCAGGGTATTAAGGTGGGATGAAGGTGGAGAGGATGAGTTGTTGTGAGTGGAGGTAATTGCCTGACAACTGTGGTTGCACAGCCAAAAAGTTGTAAGATCAACTGGCAGCAAAGAGACAGCTGCATCTTATAGTTACTTAGGCAAATACTGATTTGCAGAAGTGAGCAGAAAGGTAACTGGCATCAATGCTTTCACTGAGAATGTGACTGACAACCACGATTGCTCATAGGCATCTTATAGCTGGGGCCAAAATCTCCAAGAGAAAAACTGGGATCAGATCTGTTCTCTTCTCTAGTAGAAAGACATACAGCAATTAGGATGAAATGTATGGTTGGCTGTTATGCTATTAAGGCTCTTGATTAATCAAAATCTTAACTTTCTTCTCAGCTATGAGCTCCATGTGTATATGGCTTGTCCCCTGAACCTACAGCCAGCAGTGAAAGCTTGCAGTCCTGGCCCAACTGAGGTGAAGTATACAGGAAAAGGCCAGAGTGCAAACGTGTCCAACCTAGAGCCTTACACGACTTACAACCTGCGAGTCGTGTCTTACAACTCTGTTGGCAGCAGCGCCTCAGAGTGGATTGGTTTCACTACGGAAAAGGAGCGTGAGTATGACAAATGGTTCACTGATCAGCAATGTCCGCTTCTGATGCACGGGGCTGCAGAGCACCAAATGACTCCTCCACCTCTGTGAAAGATGATGTCCCCAGAAAACTGCTCTTCTGGTCACTGTGCCTCTGCTGCCCATTCATTGAAATTCTGCACTGGAGCTTGACTGCTCATTCCTACAAAAATATTTCTTTGCTCATCATCTGATATCACAGTCTCTGTCTTGGGAGCCTGGAAACCTTCTGTCTTACTGAGAATGGGCAGCAAAGCTGCAGAACATAAAATGTTCAAGTATTACCAGAAGGGTGATGTGTAGTAATAAATATATAGCCATAAATAATCCCTAGGAAAAGAGGAGATCTTGAAAGAGACCTGGTGATTCCTTTTAGGAATACCACCCTAATTCATGCCACACTTCTGCCAGGGCTCATGAGAGTTTTCCTTAGGTGTCATCTGAATGATTGGATCCTTGTTGACAATGAAGAAAGAATACATTGCTACCTATCTAACCATCACAAGCAGTACTTTAAGGCCATGTGGTGGTCTGCATGGAAATTTAGCATGCAGAACCTGTGCCTGCAGCCAGAATAGATTTTGCCATCAAAACTGAATTTGTAGTGGTCTAACATCAGCTTCTATTAAAAAGATCTATAGTGCTGTAGCCAGAGTCATTTCCTAACAGATGAGACGGGCATTTCACCTCAGCCTGCCAGGTCAGGGCAAAGAGGATGTTCACTTTTTATCTCATAGTCTTGTCTCAGGATTTAAGAATCACCTTTCTAAAAATGCCTTTTGCATCACTTGGTAGTTCTGCCTAGTAATTACTAAAAATGTGTCTGCTAAATCCTTAGCTGAAAATTTCAGGTGGAACAGCCCCAGATTTTCTTTAAGGTCACCACTGAAAAAAACCACAAAAGATCACTATCTCTAAAATTGTGTTTTATTAAATTGCAAACTAGAGAACTGGAACATGATAATGAACTTTTATATGGAGAAAATTCATAATGAACTGGTGAGACATGCAGAACACAAGGATTTGAAAGCCATTTTTAAACCCCACCCACTGGGGCTGCAGCCCTCTTCTTTCAGTCTTGTTTTTCGTGCCTTGCTGACCTCTTCACACCAGGTCTCCTGTATCACTCTGAATGTCTCCTTGCTCTTGCCTGGAAGGCTTGCTTTAGTGACAGTGGGCAATTAGCAGCAAAGTGCAGCTGGACAAGCAGCTTTTCTTATGAACAAACCAGCATGTACTGGGCACATAGCTTAACGGCAAAGCCACAAGAAAGGACCACCTCAAACTTAAATGAAGTCTTTTGTCAGCAAGCGGTTGAGCCCAACTGATGAACTCTTCCTCCCTGAAGTGAGTTCTGGGTTTCTTTGCTCTCTGTCTGCCATCTGCTCTTGTTTTTTCTAAAACCCCATGTTTTCCTATATGTGCATGTATTAAAAGATTATCTTGGGCAATTTCTTGGGGCTTGCAAAAGAGTCCTCTCCTTAGCAGTTCAGTTCCCATAGACCAGCAGGCTGCAGCTGAAATTGCACAACCTCCTGTGTCTCCCTGTCCCCCACCTTAAGCTGGGATTTAATTTCCACCGTTTTAGTGTCTGTACCACATACACAAAGGCAAAGGAAGGGAGCTCTAGGTCCTTATTTTAAAGATATGACATCTTTCTGCTTTCTCAGTGTAGAGGCTGGCAGCTTTTTCTTCTTTCCTTGTATCTTCCCTACTCATACACATGTACAAGAGAGAGGGAGTGCATACGACAGAGAGCTTGTATCATGCAGAGCCTCCTTTTCTGCACTGTGTAACTCAGTCATGCCTGTTGGCTAAAAATGAGCTTTCGTCCTTCTTTTGCAGCACCTCGATACATGGCTCCATTCTCCATTGTCAGCAATTTATCCACCATCCACATAGACTGGAGTCGCACGTTTGTACTGAACGGCCGCCTGAAGGAGTATGCGTTAACTGAGAGCGGGCAACGCATCTACAGTGGCTTTGACACTGAGCTGTATTTACCAAGGACATCTGACAAAAGTCAGTTTCAATTTCGTATAACTTTCTCTTTCTGAAAGACCCTTGAGCTAAATTAATATTACTGTGTGCTAAATTTAAGAATAACTCTCCATAGCCATCCCCAGCTAAGAGCACAGGAGCACACTACAGACACACTGAAGTGCATCTAAGCAGATGCTTCAAACAGAAATCCTTGGAGCTAAGCTTCCTCTTAAACATTTTGCCTGACTGGGTGAGACTGCTCTGGCTCATTGTGAGGGTCGAGCTTTCCCAAATCCTGGAGTTGTGTTGCAATTCCACCTCTCAAGGCTGCACTGTGGGAAATGCATGGAAATCTTCAGTTTCAGAAAAGACTGAAGCCTGATTTTTTTCTTGAAGCAAAACTAAGCCAGTAGTTCTTGGAATAAGCCATGTTTTGAAATTTAGTTTCTCTTTCAGAAATTTGCAGTCTTTAAAATAAAAGGAAACTCTGCCAACGGGGGTGGGGGTGGGGGGGGTGGGAATAAGAAAAAAGGAAAAAAGAACCAAGAAAAAAATGTTTTCTGTCTTTAAGGGGCTGAGATTTTTTTTGTCTTTTAAAGGATTTTTGTCATTTATTTTATTACTTTTCTCCAATAGTGCTAATATATATTTTTTTATTTACTCAAACATTCTTAACATTTTTGTATCAGCTGTGAAAGGAGTATGAGGCATTTAGAACAAAATGACGAGTAAATTTAAAGTGGACAGCCATGTGTCAATGGGAGAGGGAGGATTTGGTGGTGAAAGAGGAACATGATTTGTAGCAACATCTTAGTGGTGACCACCTATGATCCACCGTGGTTTGTAGTTCAGAAGCTTAATACCCATGTCTAAGGGATTATGAGGCTCTGACCTGGGACTCAGATGGGTTACGATGGGTTATGTGATATGTCTGCCTTCGCTTTTCAGACCTGTCCATCTATACTGGTGGATCATGGTGACAAAGCAGCATCTACAGAATTTGATTTCTCCTGCTAATGGTATTTTCTAACCTTTTTGCTCAGCCTTTTTGTTTCAAGTGACCTGTATCACCGATGAAGGGAGCGCCATGACACCAGTCATCAAGTACAGCGCTGGAGATGGAGTTGGTAAATATGTGAAGAAATTAACTAGCACCTATTGATTTTATGTGTTTATGGGATAAATTTGATATGTCATGCATGCCAGACAGGATGGCAGCTTATTGCAGGATCAGGGGATCCCTTAGTGCCTTTAGGGTATGAGGTATGTAGGTAATGTGCCTTTTTTGCTATGGATGGCTTTCTGTTTCTTTACATAATGATCAGCTTCAGATCCTTTCTCCGGATGTGTAATAGTTTTTTCTTTTACTTTTACTCAAATATTTTGCTTTAAAATGTAGTGCTTTTTCCTCCTGAATAGAATCTGCTTGCTTCCAGATTTTATTTCCAAATTAATGTTATCCTGAATTCTAATCCTGTCTTCCTACATTCCTCCTCAGTTTAACACTGAAAATATATTTCCTCTCTTCTCCCTTCATCCCACCCACCCCAGCAAGTGGCAGCCTCCTGCTCCTTTCATGCAAACCAAGCAGCCCAGTCTCTGCAGTTTCCCTAACTGTGTTCCCCTAACCAGTTTATGAGAGTGTTGTAAGAGATGCTGCCAGGACCTGGTTTATAACACTTGCTGCTTTCCTTCTGGCCACAAGGCCTGTGCCTGGTTGTGGAAGTGAAGGAGTTGGGTGTGATGAAATCCCAGTCAGTTGTTGTCCATTGAGTAGTAGATGCCTACCAGAAAAGTTTCAGGATTTTATCTCCTTAGTTTTCTGGGGAGCAAAGCTAACTGACATACTGGTTTTAATTTACTAATTTATTTACTGAGTTGCATCTTATTCAGATTCTTACTATAGACAGGCCGTGTGTTTGCTGTTTGCAGTGTTAGTCTTAACCTTATATCCCTTTTCATGCTCTCACTCCAGCCTCCTGCAGAATTTCAGGCAAGGCTGCTGTAAAGGCATTATAAAATGTTCCCAGTTACTCTCCATTCATCACCTTCCGCAGTCTACTCTTTTTTTTTTACTTTTTGATTGCTGCTTTTAGCCAGAGTGTACTACAAACTCGATCAGCACCACAGGCAACTTGCAGTAGAGGCTTGCAAGCGAAGGTGATGGAAATTCCTTAGCAAAGAGTCTGGATTCACATGTAGGATTACAAATAACCAGGCAATCCTGTCACTGAGATTTCTTACAGCTTGTGTTGTGCATGAACAAAGCCAACCAAGTGGCTGGTGGAATAAAGGAGGAATAAAATGTTTCATATTGTTTGCTTTTGTATTAATTCATCACTCATTTCAGTTCAGTCTTCTTCCCTCTCTCTTTTTAACTGCACAGACCTGCCACTCCATAGTGCTGGAGAGAATGTCCTCTGTCTTCTGTCTGTACTGCTCTGAAATTACTGTAGTCATTTCCACTCTTCAAGGTTATTTGGAGAACCCTTCTTTTCTCGCATTCCACCTCCACCGCCTCCTTTCTCAAGAGCTGCTGATGCAGTGGTGATTTCCAGCCTGAGCAGCAATGCCAGAACTTTAAGCATGGTCTCTTGAGGGTAGTAAGCTTTTTATTATAGCCCGCTAGCATATTGAACCATTATGCCACCTTGAACGTAAGTGCAAATAAGCACATGACGACAAAATTACTTAAATTTCTGCCTAATTTATTAGCAAGGAAAGGGATAGCATATTGTTAAATGCGTTCTGAAATAACATTCCCTTTCTCCCCTAATCCCTCTTGATTTTTACAGGTCTGATCTTGACAACACCTGGAGAGAAGGACAAAGCAGAGTCCAAACGTGCAAAATTCTACGACGAGTTGTGGTTTGCAGTGCTGATGGTAGTTCTAGGTTTGATCCTCTTGGCTATTCTTCTGTCCTTAATCCTTCAAAGGAAAGTCCAGAAGCAACCCTATGCACGAGACAGACCTCCTTTGGTTCCACTCCAGAAAAGAACGTCACCAATGAGTGTGTATTCATCAGGTGAAATCCATCCAGTACGTTTGGTAAAATGTAATGTTGTGTATCAATCATGTTATACTTTTATCTGCCCCCCTCCCTCTTAACGCCCCCCAAACCCACAGGAATATGACACTTGTTACAAGACTGGGAGCAGCAGTGCCTTCCATTTCCATGCCTCTTCCCAGGCACAGGCTGTGACTTGGTTCTTCTTGTCACTTCTCAGCTTCTGTTTCCTGTGAGCACCATCAAGCAGGATACTGACTCCTGCATCCTTCACGCATTCCGTCCCTTCTTGTCTCAGTGCCAAGAAGCTGCATCTGTGCCTCAGTGAAGGAGCTCTTGGAAACAATGGGATTTCCAGTGTGCCCCTTCTCCTGGCAAAGGCTAAGAGCATAAGAAACTTTTTTTTTTCTCATGGTTTTTATTCCTTTCCCTCTGCAGTCTGTCATGTGTTGTTCCTCTTGACTTTAAAACATCTTTGCTGTTGGTATGCCTGCACGATTTATTTCCATGTTCCTTCCCCTTCTCTTTTATCTTCTTTTCTCTTTTTCTTTTCCCTTTCCCTTTTTCCAGAAGCTCATGGACTCGCTTAATAGAAAGGAATATTCTACAGCACGTCAGTTGAAGGACTTAATCTGAGAATTTAGGTCTGAGAAGTTAGGACAGAGCTACTATGGAGTGGCAAAATTGCTTGTATTTTACAGTCGTTAGTGAGGTCATGTGGCAAGCAATGCTGGCTGCCCACATAGTACCTGATGACCATTTCAAAGTTAAATAGTGCCTCATCTTTGCCAGTTCCTCTACTCCTCCACATCCTGCTATATTGCTCCCCTTTGCTGAGCTGCAGGTAATTCCCTCTGAAAGGAACAGACAGCACCTGCATTGGACCCTGCCCTAATGCTTTTCCCCCTCTTTAATCTCAGTTTGAGACCATTGCTAACACGTCTGACTCATCAAGCAGCGTCACCCTAAAAAGATACACCATGCACTTTGAGGTAGAGTCGTCAGCTTGCAGAGTTGCAAGATGTGTGATGTGCCAGATGACCCAAAGAGCATGCATGAAAGCATCTTAGATTGCATGTTTCTCCTGCTGGGTGAATGCCTTGTTCCTGGTTATGATAACTGGAAAATTAAATCTGCTAACATCTTCTTGCTGTGCAAGTCTGGGATGTCATTCTCGTAGTCAAAAATCTTTGGACCTCTACCTACTGACTACTTTAAAAAAAATAGGGAGAGGGGAAAAAACAATGAGGGAAAGTCCTGTTTGACAGGGTTGGTGTTTATTTTTTTTCCTTTTAATTATGTGATTGTCCTACAATGAGAAAGGTCCATTATTTTTTTTTCTTTTCTTTTCTCCTGTTTATAACTGCATGATTTTTGAAGCATGGGTTTTCTCTGTTCTATTCCGCTCCTGTTTTGCTTTTGTTCAGCTACAGTGTTTGAGACCATAGCCTTTATTTTTGATTTCTCATTTTGTGTCTTCCTTGTAGGGGCTGGCAGATACAAAAATTCCAGGAGCTGGTTCTCCCATGAGCAACCGCAGCTTCCGTATCCCCTCTGGGGCAAGGAGACCAAGTCAGAGCCAGTTAAGTCGCACATATTCTCAGGCCTCTCTTCACCGCAGCGTCAGCCAGCTGCTCGACCTCTATGACAAAAAGCCCCTTGCTGACGAATCACCTTGGGATGCCATTATTCGCAATCATCACACTGCTCGGCGTGGCTTGGTAAGGACTCCTGGTCCTCTGTGATGCTGTTGTGCATCAGCTGCTAATGATATGCCTGCTGTGTTTGACTCATGGAAAGGTCTAAATACCAAAAGCTGCTGGAGATACAGCCAAAAGACCTAGAAGGACATGGTCAGAGATTAGATCCTCACAATCCTCCTTGCCTACTGCTCTATTCTGGAGCCATAGGTGATCACACACACTACTCCTATAGAATGTGAAAGGTCTTCATGCATCTGTCCATGGTCTCCATTGAATCAATAACTCCATGGTCTACCAGGGCTATGCACATTGAAGAATTCCCTTCTACTCGGTCAACTGATAGGCTTTTGTCTCCATGCATTTCAGCAAATGCACATGGGCGAGGAAGGGTGTTGTGGCACCCTTCACACATTCAGTGCCAGAAGCAGGAGCTTGTGTTCTAATGACTCCTGTTCTGTGACCATTTTCTGGTGGGACGTGCTCTCTGTCCTCTCCTCACTCTCAATGCAGAGATCATGCAAATGCTCAGATCATCTTGCATTTGTGACAAGTGACTTCAAACTCTGCCCACATAGGACTAGGAGGAGGTTATGGGGGCAGACAGAGCATCTGTCTTTTAATTAGAGGACAGGATTGGCCAGTGTCACCAACATGGTCCCAAACACACAGATATAAGATATTATGATTCTCGAGTCAAGGACAGTGGCAACTTCCCTTCCTCACTGTCACCAGGAAATAGGCTTTTTAATCTCTACACCCCTGGCTGCCACCCTTCCCTGAGCAAATATGTGGGAAAGGGTTCAGGGGCCAACAAGATGTGTTTGCTACCAGAAAAAGCTGACTAATAAGGTTCCTAAAAAGGGCACAGGTGGGGGTGTAGGTCATGTAAGGAGGTAACAATGTTAGAGGGAATGTGCAGTTGTTATTGAGCAGATCCTGTACAAAACACAAAGTGAACTGGTGAAGGATGGTCTGGCACCTAAGTCCAGGCAGCTTCCTTTAGCTTTTGCTTTCAATACACCAAACGGTCAGAAGAGCAGGAACATACAGGCATGCCCCAGTATGGGAGTGTTGCTACCATTGCTGCCATACCAGCTTAGACCATAACAGAAGGACCAAGGCAAACAAAGCTTAAGAAAATAGCAATACTTAGCTCTAAGCAAAACCCCTTCCAGTCTGCATTGATCTACAGCTCATGGACTTCCTGAGTGCAGGGTATTGTGACTCAGTCTTGAGTCCTTTCCTCAGAGCTATCATATCCTTGTGATTCAATTCCTTGAGGACCAGTATCCCACCCAAACTGTACTTCTACGTGATCTCATTAACCAAAAAAACAGCTGTCTGATGCTAAAAGCAGCAGCTCTTGTTCCTGCCTACTTACCTTGTGCTAACACCGTAATTTGGTTTAGCTTGCAAACCCCCCATACACCTGCTTGATGTTGGTACGCTCAAACTGTCTTACAGAATAGTCCAATGAGTTTCAGAACCGATAGTGGGTAGAAGCAGAACAAAAATTTCCTTTCACTTTTGGTGTCAAATAACCGAAACAGCATGAGCTCAGCCACTTTTTAAAACCAGCTGCTGTACATATAAAAGGTGGGATCTTGCACTCCAGCTCTTGCAGACAAACCTCCTGCAACCCTTTTCACTCAGCTCTTTCTTTTATTACACTGACTAGCTTAGCGCTGTCAGCAAGTTTTGGTCACCCTTTTTGGTCACCCCTCTGTCCATCTTGCAAATGGAGATTACTTACTATGAAAATCTAGTTGCTTTAGATCCAGGTGCCTGAATGCTTTTAGGTTCCTATCTCATGCTGGAAGAATGGGAAAACATGCAGGGAGACAGAAATGCACTCAGAACCATATTTTTAGGTAGTGGGGAGAAAAAGAAGCAAAGGGACAGGATCTCCTTTAGTCTTGTACCGCTTCGACTTATATGCTTTTTTTTTCTCTCCCCACTCCCACAGTATGCAGATGGGGATGATCTTGTCAATGTCATTAAAGGCTTCAGCACAGTAACCAAGGAGCACACCACATTCACCGACACCCACCTCTGAAGACCACCACCACCACCTTTAGAAAATGGGAAGTGGGTAACTTGCCAAAAGCAGCCTGTGTGGACTTTGGGGGAGGGCATAGGGCTGCTTCTTCCCCGCCCCATGCCCACTAGTTAAACCTGTTTGTTGGGAGGGGATGTGGGGGGTAAATTGGCCTTTTTTCACCCTCTCTTTATAACTGTATAGTAAAAACCTGTGTGTTAGCACTGACAGAAAGGTAAGAGAACAGTTTGAAAATCCCCAAGTCATACAGTAGTAGAAGACTGTGAAGGTAGGGGCCCTCATCTTTGTCTCTCATCCAACTCTCACAGTTGAGGGTTGTGGAGATGGGGGGGGCGGGTGGGGGGGGGGAGGTGTGTGTTTGGTAAGGAAAATCTTTTACCTGTCTGAAAAACAGCATGTGGCTAAAAGAAGCCTTCCTGGCAGGAGAGCCATGCCTCTTCCTGGCCTGACAACGCTCCACCACAAAATTGTGTTCATGCACAGGTGAATAAAGAGTAAATGAAGGAGTTTTTATGGAGTTGCTTTAACTTTTGCATCCTCTCCATCCCTCTTCCCCACCCTCTCGCCTCAAGTCTAAAAAAAAAAAAATAATTAAAAAAAAGGCATTAATTAACACTTAACTCCAAGCATGCTTTCTCAGAGGCAGAAAACCTCCTAACTCACTCTCGATTAAACACTTGCTGTCACAGCCTTCCCTTTTGCTTATGTATTACTAATCTACAAGCAATAAAATCTGTTCACCACCCACAGCAAACAGCAAGCAGCCCGTGCAACAAAGGTAGGAAATATCATGTCAAGGCACTTGTAATTGAGAATTATTATACCATGACAGTAAACCTACTCCCATATTCATCTCTGTCCTTTTTCCAGAGAAAGTGACAAGGAAGCCCTCAAGAGACTGCCAGTTCTGTGTATTCTGCCAAGCATATTTTTATGCACACTCTCAGTCACAATCAGCAAAACCCATCATCCAATACCACAGATTTTCAGAAAGCACAAGCAACACTCCTCTGGCAATTTATTTGGACTAAGAGGCAAAGTAATATGCTATTTTGAATAGCTTCCTTCTTAACCTGCACAAAACATTTCAGATTTCAGACAGCAGCATACAGAGCAAGGATCCCATTCATAAAACAAGACTACAGAGGCAGCCCTGTGTATTAGGCAAAATCCAGCCAAGACAGCAGCAGCTCTGCAAAGCAACATGTGGCTGCATCTAAAAGGCATCTTCTACTGAGCAACCAAATATTCCTTTTACACCCTCCCTCTCCCCAGGACAAAAATAATCACAACTTATCACATGCCTGACCACGTTTACGCAAGAATGCACACCATATATTTTGAACCAAGTACCGTACTACATTTTGGAGCATTACATAAAAGCCACACATTGCTGTGGGCAACTCTTCAAGGGTTTGGCGGCAGCCAGGTACTTTCTCATAACCTTACGGTTTTCATTCCGGGTATCAGAACAAAGTCCCATTCAAGAAACAACCCACAACACATAATATTATGCCTGCTACCAGCCAGAGGGCACCTGCACCTCATCTTTGCCACCAGTCACGTTTTCACAAGCCATAGTCTTCCCAGGATGAGTCATTCTTCCGGTGACGTGGTGAAGCAGCTGTCTTTGTAGGCGATGGAGAAGCTGCAGCAGGTAATTCAGGCCCACCTTCAGCAAAGACTGGTGCAGAGGCCAGGAGAGGCACTTTCTTCCTTCCCAGGAAACCAGCTCCTTCAAACCCCATTTTCTTTTTGCTTTCTGCTTTGGCTTCACTCTCCTCTTCAGCTCCTCTTCTTTTGAGATCCAGAGAACACTCTGGCAGACGGTGAACCTCTGTACCACAACACCCACCTCCATCTGTCACACCTGTGCCTCGCACTTCAAGTGCTGCTGTCAGGACTGCCTTCCTCTCAGTTGCACTGACCTCAGCTGCTGACTTCCTGGCCTCTGTCTGGCTTGAATTCCCATTTGCAGGAGCTGTTTTTTCTGTTGGGCTTTTGCTGGATAAGTTAAAAGCCTGGAAGTCCCGGTAACTGTGAAAGCTCTCGGTCCGCCTTGCTCTTGCCAGTAGGGGGCTCTCTCTGTATGGCCTCACAGAACCATACGTGGCTGTTTCATGGATTGTTTCATGGTGCTGCAATTGGAGGCTTCAAAAAAGAAAACCAACAACCAAGGACAAGATGTCAGCCTGAGAATAGAAGCTGGTTTTTCTGTACACTCTGCTCCCACCCACCACTGCAACTCCCACTAAAATAGCCATATACTCATCACAATCCTCACACAAAGGTGTCCAGATGGCTTACTTCAAATTTTCATAGGATACTTTAACCCAGACACATATAAACCAACAGAAATCGAGGTGCATGCATGTGTAATTCAAGATACTCAGGGCACAGATACAGGGGCTCAGCTACAGCATTCGGGTCACCAGACCTCTCTTTGCCTACCTGAACTTTAGGTAAAACCTTTGGTGTCTGCAGCAGGTGCCACCCTTGCTGACTTACCTGGAATTAGACTCCCGCAGACGGTTTGGCTGAACTACTGAGGTGGCAGGACTGATGTTGGGTGTAGCACAGCGAGATGTACTTAAGTCACACTGGTCAAGCAACTTGAGCAGCTCTTCCTCTGTGGGGCCACCAACATCTGAAAGAGACAGCTCTTAGTGCCCAAGTCCACTTACCGTAGTCATGCACATGTGAGGACAGAACCACACCGCAGACCTGGCATAACACAACTTACCTTTGTCTTCACTTTTATTAACCATGTCCATAGCTGTGGTCAGATCCCACATCTGGATGCTGCCATTTGAATGCCCAGTGAAGAGGTAGCGGCGCGGCCGGGAGCCCATTCTGCTGGATCCTTCACATTCTCGCACAGTAAATGATGAGATGGTAGTGCAGTCAACTGCCTGGATCTCACAGATCCTGCAGGAGCAGAAACCCCAAGTTACCAAAACAATTGCACCTGGTAGAATTTGGCCAGTAAAGTTAGTACTGCTTTGATTATCTGAGAAGGCACCAAACTTGCCATCAGAGAAAGATTTTTCTTCCAGATGAAATTCCTTCCCCTGCATGGCTGGCATGCTGCTCAGCTGCAGACAGTACTGTCCCCCACAGTCCATCTTACTACTTTTTAATTTTTATCAAGGAACCCCCGTATGTTCTTTGTCCATTTTCAGTTTGCAATGATTAGAAACCTAAGGCACTCTCAAGAATGACAGCAACCAGCCCCTTCATATGCGAGACACTCTAGGAAACTAACCTGCAGAAACAGCACATTTAACCACATAAAAGATGCGCAAAACCTGGTAAATCCAAGGTTATCCAACCTATGATAAATCCAAGGTTATCTATACAGATAAATTTTGTCTTATGACAACTGCAATATCACTTCACATGGCAGACCTCCATCGCTTTTTCCCCTTTATTTTAGAAGCTTATGCAGCGAATGAGAGGAAAAGGACTCCCAAAACTAATGCTAGGTCAGACTCCATACCAGAATCTCACATAGTCTGGGTAATTTTTTTCACTGGTTCCTTGTATTGAGCTTTTTACCCAAGAAGTGCCAAAATAAGTCAACTAATAAAAAACTCTCCACTACATACAAATCTAGCCTGAAGAGACAAAAAACTCCAAAAAGTGCATCAGTAATCTGCAGGGCCTCTGTCCTCAATTCAGATGTCAATAGTGTTAATGCATTTTCACCCAAAGTTAGCATGCAAGAATAATAAGAAACACAGAACTGAGATGCACCATCTTTTCTGATCTCTTGCCATCTTCCTACCCTAACAAATAGAAAAGCAGCTGTGGTTATTTGGCAACCTTTTTTATTACACTGGCAGCAACACAGCAGAATATTATGAAGTGAAGCCTAAGTAAATAACTGTATAGCTGATCTAGAAGACAGTCTCTTGGTTTTAATGGTTCTAATATCTTCAAAGACAATTGTGAAGGAAGAGAGAAACTGCTTCCCTGTCTACTTTTGTGAGCAGCAAAATACCTGCCACCAGCAACTTAAGCATTAGTTTTGAAATTTAATGCGGTAACCATGGCTGAGACTTACAGATTCTATAGAGGCACACAAATGTTTGTTTCATGAGCTCAGCAGGTGAGCCATCATGAAGTGAGTCTCTGATATCACATTTTTCAAAATGCCTTTTGGCTTCTAGGTGACAGCAGATCACAAAGCACAGTTCTGTTACCAACATGCAAAGTAGAGTTCAGTCAGAGCTGTCAAGCACATTAGAAACTTGCTAAGTGCATCTGCATGTATCCCCAAAGGATAGGAAGAGACCCTGCCATCAGAACAGTCCTGCTCATTTCTCACTTAAACCCCTAAATGTGGGGGTACCTTTTCCCAGTTGAAGACAGCCTTACAAACAGCTTATTGGTGATGGGAACAACTTTTTGGATAAACACCTGTTGATCATCACGTTCACCAAAGGGTCCTAGAGAAAAAAAGAAATACAACTTGTTTGTTTGTTTCAGTTCACTCACCCTCTTCCCCACACAGTCCTGAAGACCCAAACTCAAACCAGTATGACCACTGCAACTTAAAAGCACCAGGACCAGGGAACTAAAGATGACTAATAGCTAGAAAAAGCCATCCACTAGTTAGAAGCCTCTACAGAGAGATACAAATCTTTTTTGTTCTTTTGTTTAAAGGACACCTTGAGTTTCCTGCATGTTCCTGGAGGAATTACTATGTCAGTACAAACCCTACATTAGGCCTCTATAATAACAATAAGTACTTTCTTATTTTCCAGCTCCTAGCTGTCTAAAGGCTTAATCAGATTTCTGGCCATAGTACTGACCCCACCCTGTGTTCACAAGGCATCAAAGGTTCATTTGCAAGACTCGGACCACAAAGGAACCTAGACTACCTGTCTCCCCGTATTTACTGACGTGCATTCCTTCAGTATCTTGCTATAGCAATGTGCTACCACTGTTTGCCTCTGTAGTTCCAAAGCTTCCGTAAACTTTGTCAAAACTTCAAATTCATTTAAGAATTTTTCACATGTGCATCATTTAACCCCAATTGAACTGTGAACTGCAATTTGCAGTAGACCCAAATCTTGCTATGCTCATCTGCTTTACTATAATCTCCTGTGCTTTCTGTTATTCCCTAGTGAAGCCAAAAGTGAAATGCTACATCACTTTGCTCAAGGAAGAGGCATAGTATCTGTGATAAAACGTTTTTCTTCCGTTTTTCTTGCCTTCAGAGTAAGCCCTCAAAGTGTACTCACCCTAACAGTGAGTATTTCCAGGTGAATCTTACAGATCCCTGCCATCTTTTCAAGAGGAGAGCAGTATCTAAGGGCTTACACCCATCAGCTGACTTGCATGTTACAGGGCTGAAGATCTGTTAAATCTTTATGAAACCAGTGAAAGTACAGGCTCAGCACAGCGCATTCAAGAGGTACCCTACCAATGTCATTTCCAGAACAGTAACTGCCATGACTCTCTGCTTCCTCCAGGGATAAGATTTTGAATGATGCAAGAGGTGTTGAGCCTGGCTGAGTTGAAATCATGCCCCGGAACCGAGTCACTGTCCACGTCCGTACATGATTGTTATCAGCACAAACTGAAAAGGAAAAGATGTACAATAACATGTATAAGGGATGACAAAAAATTTGAGATAAACTTCTCTATTGATTTCCATATGATAATTTTTCAAGACTGAGCAATCAAGCAGAATTTAGTCAATGTCAGGTCACACAGCATCATCTCCAGACAGTTATCTGACAATCTAGAAATTGTTGCTGATGTCCTGTTTTCTATTAGTTTTGTCTATTCCCTCAGAAATTCAAGAAACTGAGGCAGGTAGAACACAACATTAAGGTCTGACTGAGTAAGCACCTCTGTGTGAAGATGCTAGGATAAGACATGAGAGCAGCCTGGCAGCAGAACCCCCATCACACAATGGTGCTCTTCTATTTCATTCATCAGTTACTCGGTTTTTTACATACAGATAAAAAAAATTAAATTGGAGTAGCAGCAGAAAGTAAATCTGTTCTATCCCTGGTTGCTGGACTCTGGGTGAAATAGATTCTTACAGAAGGAGGAATGTTTGCATCTTCCCTGAAAGCCAGACACTTTCCTGAGCATAAGATAGGACAAACACAACAGCACAACAAAGACTAGGAGACTGCTGAGAAAAGAAGAAACACAGACAGCCCTTTGAAGCCGTGGGAAGGCTTTTTCTAGGGCCCAAGAGGAGATGGTGCACATTTTGCTGCAACCCAAAAAGCTCCTGAATGGCTATTAAAAAAAGACAAGTCCTTAAGGACCTGCCCACAACAATAATATTTGACAGGGATCCATCTGTTTACAAACGCTTTTATTTCCACAAATGGAAATCTTGAAATAAGACACAAATGAAAGAGTGCGTTGTTCCAGTATCTGGTCAAATAAAGCTTACACCTTTTACTTGCTAAAGGCTTTGAAGAATGCTTACTTTAAGAAAGAGAATCCAAGCAAATCTTCCCTCCTTCCACCAATCTTTGTGGGAACAAAGCAAGTTAAAAAGCAAGGCATACAAACATGTCATTGGTCAGGAGAAGGGGAGAACTGCCAATACAATTTCTGTGAGAAAAAAAAATTACCTGATACGAGGTGTTTCTCTGAGAGCATGATCTTCGTCACAGGACTTCGATGAACTGTGAAGGTCTGAAATAGCTGAGGCCCAGATCCAACCGTTTCGGGGTGCTGTACAATCACCCTCACTGCTCCAGAGCTGGTGCCATATGCAATCTCAATCCAATTGCCACTTACACCTAAAATCAGGAAGAATACAGTTGTTCCCCCTCAGGAATGAAAGCTTGTCTTACCGGGGCCAGGAAATGAGGAAAACAGTATTTGGAAGATTCCATAGTAAGATAGATACTAACTTTAAACACTTTACTCATTATTTTCCCATGAACAGAGAAGATGTTTGGCTACTCAAAAACTCCAGAGTTTTGTTCAATTCTATACTACACTCTTCAACACTGTCTCAACAGCAGCCTGCTCTCCCATTCTCTCCTGCCTGCTGGCGGTGAAAGAAGAGATTTATAAGAGTCATACAATCAGAAATTTTGGCACTTCTCAGAGTGATTCAGTCAATACAAGCCACATACAGTTTATTTTTCTGCATTAGTGGGAGGAAAATGTGAGAAAAAAGGTGAGAGCAGGGAGGATTATAGTTTAAAAGGTCACTTTAATATTGACACAGGTACGCAAGTAACCAGTTTCTCCCAGTTTGTGGCTTTTTGGAGGTTTTGCGTTGTTGGTTGGTTGTTTTGTTTTGGTTTTCTTTAATTTAAAAGATAGCTGCACTATGATTATAAAAGAGTGTATAAACAAAATAGCCAAGAATCATTCAGCTGTATATGAAAATGGTTTATAGTATATTGGTTATAAGGTTAGATCAAACAGTCTTTCCCTCCTCTCCCCTCAGGTTGACCACAAATTGATTCAGTGAATACAATTCATAATCTAAGCATATATCTTGTGTAAAAGGCTTAAAACCAGCAAAAGGTACATTATACACAAGTATTAATATACAATGCATTATGTTATTACATTATACATTAATGTATAATGCATGACATACAAGCATATGCACGCATACATGTAAGTACATGTACCTATTTAAGAACATGCCCAGATGTAAAGGGGAAAAGAGTTACACCTAGTGCTCATCATTCATTTAAAGAAGATTAAAAGAAAAATTGCTCATGTCTGCTTTAGCTCTGCTATACAGTAACAGAAAAAGTCCATTTAGAAAAAAGGAAAGTCCACATCTGTAACAGACTCATAGTGAAGAGACAGTGATAGAATACTGACTTGTTTTAGGTGTGAGGTAGACACTGAGCGCCGTTATTGCATCATTGGAGGGATCATGGTACAATTCTGTCACTAGAAGATCATTGTCTTTCATTCGCAGTGGGAACTTCTGCATGTCTGTGGGAAAGAGACATTTGTTTATTACCCTGAATAGACAGAGTTGTTCTGATGCAACTTAGACCAACTAAAGAGATTCAGAACAAAGCTGCTCACTCAGTACCACCTCCTTTTTATTCTGCCCTGCCCTCACTTCTTACCTATGTAGTAGATAGAGCCGTTGTTACAGCCCAGCAGCAGAAAAGATCCAGCAGTATCATAGCTTGTGATAGGAACAACATCCTGAACCTGGTACAAAGAGAAAAGGAAATAAATAAATAAATAAGTTAGGTTGCTACTTTCTCCATTCTCAGACATTTTCGGTACATTTTGTCGAAGAACACCTGAGCTCGGTACTGGTCTGAAGCTGTTGTGCGCACACACGCACATACACTGGAATTCTTAAAGTAGACTGGTAGACTATATTCCTCTACCAAACTAGATCTGAAGTCATGGAGTTCAGCAGAAGTGTGCAGACAAGTTAGCACAGCTGCTGTGGAATATCCTTTTCCATGTGAAGGAACAAAGCTTAGAACATTGCAGCTAAAACACATCTTCAAAAGAGGATTTGTTTTTCAATAGGCAAAATGAACGTACTTCACACTTTCTGTAATGTTTCTTCCCTTTCTGATAACTGCTTAAGAGGTTGCTGGGTAAAGGGACTAGATGCTACCTCTCTAAGCCTTCCATTACCCTCAGTTCTTGTGTCCCTCTGCCAGCCCCCTGGAAGTCTCAGCCTCTAGCTGACAGGGGAAAAAAAAAATAACGAGGGGGAGGAAATTCTTCCCTCATTGCAATTTCTCACTTCCAATACACATCCACATCAAGTAAACTGGAAGGCAGCCCTGTTGTATTTTACTTACTGGTCTACAGTTTAAGGATGATGGATTAAGTATGCCCTCTTTTTGCACTCCTTTCCAATTACTGAAAAGAACTACTATTCTTATCTCAATGCTTTCACACAGTACTTTTTCAGATACAGCTGTTTAAGTACCCTACCCTCCCCACAGTCAAATTTATACGACGCCTAATTAAGTAAGGCATCTAATGATCTGGGCCACGAAACTTGGCTTCAAAAGATTAATTTTTCCAGACTACTTTAAAGAAGTAGTACAAGAGCAGAAGAGCAAAAAACTAAACAAAGTCTCAGCATCTAAGAGTCTAACAATAAAAGAACACTGTACTTTCTGGTTTTGTGGATCAAAGGAATACACTGAAGCTCTCCCATCTGCAAAGAGTTTACAAAACTAATGAAAGTAGAGACAAGTCATCAACAGATACACCACTTTAGTTGTCACCCTGCAGAAGGCATAACAACTGAAAGGAGAGATCTGAGCAAGAGGATCCACAATGCTGCTGACAGCAGAGATTGACTGACTGGGTCAGAGAGATGATACAAAACAAGGAGTCTTCTGCATCAGTGATAGGAACACCAGAGGCGATTGAGAAGTTGCACCTGCCAAAATGCAAACTTTCATTAGGAAACAGAGCAACTCTATGCAACAGTCACTACTAAAACACAATCAGTGAGAATCCCCACCTCGTAGACAAAGTTTTCCTGTCATATGCTACTGCTTTATGTTACCTCTTATGCTATAACACTAAATATTCTGCTTCCTTTAAGCTCTCCTACACTACAAATTTCATTACTGATACATCTAGCACCTATCACCTCCTCTCTTTGTTGCATGCAACTGAAACATTGCCAGAGGAATAAGTACTAGGGAAACTACCTCCACTAGGCTGCTCAGATCTCCAGGATGAGAAGAAGATGCCAGAACCAATTAAAGACAGAGGTCAGAGTCACATCCTCAGGGTGTAATACACCAAATACAAAAATCAGTGTAAGGAAGGATAGCTCTGCACAAACTAAGCCTCCTTAAAGTGAAACTCAGAAAGGCATCAGGAAAGAAAGCCTGAAAGGAAACAAAGTTCTTGGTCTGAAATGGTGCATTGGCATATTCTGTTCCTCAAAACCTCCCACACTGCAGCAAGTATGATTACATGTTAAGTCAAGAGCTATGGGCAACTCATGGAAAATAGTTATATATATTCTCAGTGAGGAACGTGAAGATCAGAGGTACAACCCTGCTGCTTAAGTCTACTGGGGTTCTTCGAGAAGAATATGTTCTAAGCAGAGATCAAATCTATAGGAAGATGGGTTTTTTTTTTCCTCCTTACTAAAAAGCCTGAGTTGCAGAAAGGACCTTGAAACTGTTTGGATTGGGGCTTTTTTTGTTTGTTTGTTTTAAGTTGTTGTTGTTTTTATGGTTTTTTTCCCCCCCTCTAAAAAAAATAATTGGAAAACAAGAAAACCTTGGTTTTAGGACATCCTGGCATATAAACTGATCTTAAAGATTTTCTACTCTTCAATAAGAAATGCTTTCACCAAAGGAACAATCGGTCAAACTGAGTAACTATTAATGTGATCAGAAAGATTTCTGTGGCTCCCCCTGGAAACAAAGAAGATGAATGGGACATCAGGTTTTATTCATTACAACTTCAGAAAATATTGTCAGACACCAGCTTGTCACATAGCATTAAGCTGTCTCTTACCAGAAGGTTTTGCAAGGCACCAATAGAACTCTGAAGAATGTTTAGTTTGATTCAAGACCATGCTAACATGTCTGTCTCTGCTACAGAAGCAGGGCTATCCCATGCTTACTATCTGTGTTATTTGTTGGCAGCAGTCACTTAAGGGTGAATCAGAACTTAGTCAGCAAACAGGGCAGCAGCCTCAGGTCAGTTCTGCCTCTTGAGATTTGCAAGGCAATTTTGGAATTTTTATTGCATCCAGGTTTTGTGCCACAAAATGTACATCTGGCGTGTTACAAGCTTTATTAGTCACATGAATGTTCGACTGTTTTCTCAGACTCATACAGGCTCCAAGGATCTCTCTATTTGATATGTATTCTGCCAACAGGAATAAAGTCAGTGCAGTCAGAAGCATCCACATGCAAGACAGATGTCTTTAAAGCACCATGTTTATTTCTGCTGGAGAAGAGCCTCCCATTGTAAGACCACTTTGGAGATCACTAGGTATCAGACTGCCGCCTTGTCTTCTTCTTACAGACAGTGCAGAAATTGTTGTCATACATTCCCCACAATTTTTTTAATTTCCTATGATCCTAGTGAATTTTTACAAAGTTAGTAATCCCCAAGGGGACATACATACACATGATATTTATTACTCCAAATCACACCACATCTTTTTATTTGAAGCCTAAAAAGCATGCTTGGAAGTACCACCAAACAATTCAACATTCTTCTCACAGCACAATACTCTGATACCAAGGTGGCAAACTTCTGCGACAAACATTACACATGCTTTTAGGTTATTTTATTCTCTTCTTACTAGAAAGACATACCAGCTTATTACAAGTGATGTGGAAAATTGAACACACCTGCCAATGCTGAGTCACAGCGTTCCACACTCCCACTTTCCCTGTATGGCTTGTAGCCACCAACTGGTTGCCAATGAAGAAGAGAGCATCTACAGGGACTCCAAGACTGAACACTCCTACAAAAAATGAAGAGTCTATGAAGCTCATCTAAAATAAAGAGAAAAAAACAGTAACAATGGACTCTCTCTACTATTATCATGTGTCATTTATCACAGTAGCAAGTAAAGAACAGCCAAAACTGGGTTTGAAGTGTGCTAGGTGAGGTACCATTCAAGCAGCAAACTGGGTTCCATTAAATTAAATGGCAGTGCGATGTCATCTCTGCTGATGCAATCGTTACTTGGGAAGGAGAAAGGACGCAAGAGAAGGAAGAAGAGCCCATGTGAAACATACATTCCTTATTTTCCCACAGTCATAGAGTTTTCAAATGGCTTTATACCTCCTAAGACATTAAAAAATAAATATAAACCTTACTACAGCAAGCAAGATTTTTTGGTGGTTTTTCTAGGATTTTTTTGGGTTTTTTGGGGTTTTTTTGTTTTATTTTCTTTAAACTGTGACTATTAAGTGTCATTTAAGAAGCAGTAATTTCATGGTTTTTGCTAAGACAGACAAATTTGTGCCATACTAGTTTGCAATTATCTTTTAAAGTATTACAAGTTCTCAATGCCTTTTTTTTTTTAAAAAAAAAAGTCTAATCAAATAGACATAGCCTGGAAACGTTTTAGAAGCTAAATACAGCTACAAGGCTTCATTCTTATTCTTTGGAAAAGATTGAGCAACCCCAATGTGACACTACTTAAATCTATTTTAGAAATACTTGAACCTGAAAAAAATAAGCAGCCTGTAAAAGCCTGTTTCTCATTTTCTTTCTTTCTTTCTTTTTTCATCTCCAGATCTTTAAGTTTGGTTACAGTCTGTGAGCAGAGTACAGGCTATTAAAAACTGAAGCTATATAGGGAACCAGTTTCACCAGTCATCAGATACTATTCAGTATCTGGAAGATAAGACTTACCAGCAAATGCTGGCCTTCCAAATAAAGCAAATGTGGCATCAGGAACATTTCACATAATGAAAATCAAAACACTGTAGAACATGGCAGGCATTGATGACTATGGTTATAGAAGACCTTAACATCTGAGCTTTTTGACAAAAAATCTGTCCTCTCTTTAGAGCTTCCTAGTTTCATTATAGATCCAATATGAATATTTTCAATTGAACTGCAGTTTTAAATAGCATACTACATTTTGTATAATTTATTGTATCATGTATTTAAAAGTTACAGCGAACTACAAAGGTCTAAGATAATTTCCAACTTTGTCAGCCATGAAGTCGAGCAAACTGGCCCTGTAAGTAAGTCTGTAATTCCAGACTAAGTTTTACCGCTTGGTAAGTACAAAAGTTGTTACTACTGGGGTACATTACACTACCAAGCGCCAAGCTTCACTGACAAGTTTCCTATTCCATACTGCTCGCTCTACATATTTATATTACTCCTCCCTAATATACTTTCACTTCAGCAGACAGATGTCTTCAAAGCAAGAGTACCCAACAGCTGGAAAATTTCCCGACTTTGTTCTGGACAAATTCAAACGAACAGAGTGCCATTCCCAACCAAGAGACAGCCCTCTGTTACACCCCAAGAGGGAACCTCAATATACACTTATGCTTTAATTAGGATGCTAAGCTGTTTTCCAGGGCACAGCACAATCATTTGATGCAGATAAGATTCAGGAGTACAAGGCACATGAGAAAGGCAATAATAAAAAATCCACAGAAACAACTAGAATTGATTACTCCAGAGAAGGGTGAGGTTCAAGGAAATCAAGGAAGACAGCTTGAATGGTCTGAAGGAATTTGAAGTGTCAGTCCTGCTTAGGCTCAACAATCTTGAGACCCATCCACAGGGGAGACAATGCTATACATAATGACAGGCTCTTGTCTTAAGGGTCCCTCTCAGTAAAATACTGCTTACAGCAGCAATCCAGCAGCAGCATCTTCTGTAAGTAATATTGAAAGGAAAGAGAGTGCTCTGGGAGAGCTATATCACAAAGATGTCAGCCCACACAATTTTCTGAGGATGGTGTCGCCAGGCTCCAATGACTGTTTGGAACAAGTAGTTTCTTTCACAAGATGACAGCAGTGTACTACATCTCTAACACAAAGCAGGACTGCAAGCATTTGCCACTACAAGAAAACAAGAAGCTACAGTCAAGTTATTACTACTAGGCACAAGAATATTTTAATTTTTTTAAACCAAGCAGAATGACCTATTATCCAAAAGAGGAACAGTACATTTTGGTCAATGTTAGTTGGACTAAAGATTCGGTCCTGTATGCACTTTCTCCTTGCTCTGCCCCCACCCCAAGTGGCATTTTCTTTGTTCCACAAAGTCACTTCAATGCAGTACAGCCTGTTTAGCAAAAGTGCTTCCTTCAGTTTTGTTGCCATATTCATAGTCTGAGTTATCAGAACCTTATGATATTCGCATATTTTAGAGTTTTCAGTTGAAGTAAAAGTCCACTTATGTTTTTTGCATCTCTCTGCATTTGATTTCCAAAAATCCAAGATATTGCTCCACGTATCTTCTTGCAAATCCCAAGGTAACACAAGCAGCTAAGCCAAACCAGAAAATGCAGGAGGAATGTAATAGCATAGTGCTTAAAGCAATGCCTATTACAGGAGTACAGCTGTCACGCTAACTCTTCCCTCACTTTAAGATTTGGTCAAAGGGAGCATAAGAGAAGAAAAGGCTTTTTAAGTACAATATTTACTCCCTGTTTAATAGAGATATTTCACACTCAACTGTTAGACATCTTTTTTTTTAATACCACGGAACCTCCTTTTCTCTTTTGCTGACCATGATGCCATATAAGAACTCTGAGTATCAAATAAAAGAGCAGTATACAGCTGCATTATCTCATACAAGACCTTTGTCTTTCCCCATCTTCAAATCTGACTTCGTGTTTCCACTCATTCAAGCATGAAAAAAAGCAACAGCCGTTAACATAGCTGGAAATTGCCTGAGATTCTTTCAAGTAAGCTCTTCTTTTAATGGCACATGGATGAAAACTTGAATTTGGTTATTTTGACTTGAATTAATTCTCAACTACGGAGATAACATCCAACAACAAATTTGTTCAACATTATGTTTCAGAGAAAAGTGTCCACATAAGGAGACTGCTGTCATACTTTGTTAGCAGTATCCACTGCCAGAGGAAATAGACATTACTGGAATAATAGCAGTTATTCAAACACCAGGGATAACGCTAGAGGAAGTTCCTAATATCATTCCCTTCACTGCCTCCCAAATATGCCCTCTATTTGAACAGCAGCAAGTCAGACAAGGTATCAGATCAGTACCAAGGAATTTTTACTGCTTAAAATGTCTTCTTGCTGTTTCTAAATCCTCCATAATTGTGTGTCCTTCAGTGTCAAGGTGCACAAGTAGTAATTCCTGTACACTTAGGGCAGGACTTTTTCCTTACTTAGACACGTTATAAAAAGAAATTTTCATGTTCCATATTTCATTTACAAACTACATTTGACAGAGAACTGAAATCTTTTCATCATAAAAACCAAAAACATATGGGTTTAGGAGGACAAAGAAAAGAGCAGAATCTCTCAGTATCTGTAGCTTTCCATCTCAGAAACTTAGTTCCTTTGTCCTATGGCCTAGGTGCAAATGCAAGTCCAGAGAAAACTTTAACTCTTAATTTGCATCTTCAAACACAAACTCAAATGGACCACTAATTAGTTAGTATCTGTTTAGTAAACAGACTACTCTTTTATTCTCCATCTTTTTGATTTTGAGAAAGGATTCCTCTAGCCCGACAGAGAAGAAAGTTATGTTTTAATAGGCTGCTGTACTATAGCTTGTTGTGTCACTTTCTGAAAGTGGATACTGAATACTATGGATGATACATACCTCAAAATAAGGTCATAGACTTCTTTTGGGTTAACCACACACACACAAAGAAAAAAACCCAGGCAATTATAGTTACCAATTTCACTGCCACTACCACCGTCTTGAATGCTCCACAAGATTATGCTACTCTCCGAGGCAACTGCAACCATCTTATCCTTGTCTCCATGAGGTCCTCCAACTACCTTTGCATTGAGAGCCACTCGCTCAATTGTCCAGTCCAGATAGGGGCTCGTGAACACCTGCTGCCACCCAGATGACTCTTTGATTCTGGAAGGGCAAAAGAGGCAACAGGGAGCAGAGGTTAGAGATTCAGAAACAGACAACTCAGTCTAAGCCTGAACCAATGTGAATGATCTGGTCTTACAGGCTAAGCCATGAAACTTCAAATTCCAATTAAGCACTGCAGTTTGTAAGAGCTGCATTTTCCTTTTCCTTAAAGTATGATACCGCATACTATTTCAGTGCTTTGCAGATACTAGAGCTCTGTGGTGGGCTTTTTCCTCATATAAGCACATCTGATACAGAATTTACAAGATCAAGCTAAAAGCTTGGTCTAGACAAATGCTAGAGAATGAGGTTCAGCATAAGACTTTAGAAGAAATCTCTATTAATTTCCAGAGGCAAGATGTCTTATATATCATGTAAGACAGCCAATCACACCCTAGCATAAAGCTGTGCTATCTAGTCACATTTTCTGTTGATAGTAAACTGTAAACAGGCAATACTGAATTGACTATAAGCTTTATTTTTAGAGAATTATTTGCATGTGCAATTTTAAAGACCTAAATTGTCGTTTGCTAGCATCATGCATCTGATTTAATTTCAGGCAACAATTTAGATACATTACAACTGAGCTAAAGCACACTAAATCTCAGTAGTCAAGTTATAAAAATGTTAACATGGAAAGCAGAAACATAGCATTTTTTGCCATTGTTGCCATTTTTTCTCTTCAGCATCGTATCCTGCCTGAAGCTGAAGCACCACAGATGGCTGTGCTCTACCCATACGGCATGCAGAAGTTGTAAGGAAGTGAGTTCAAAGCAGGTTTGCAATAGCCTTTTGAATGTAACCAAGACATTCTTACAAGCTTTATTATCAGATTTTAAAGACTTCTGTCAAAAGTTCTGTTTTAGTGACTTCTGTCACTTCAAATGAAAAAAAACCAAAACACTGTATTTAGGATGCTCTGTGATTTGCTGCAGCTTTTTACTAAAATAATTAACTTAAGTATTTAAATAGTATCTGTTACAAGAAGCCTAAAAGAAAGTCACAAAACTAAGTATCTGACTATATTTCATTTCTTACTGAGTGAGATTCACCGTCCAGTACATTACAAATTACCACCCACTTTTTTAGAAGTGATTCTGGCTAAAATTCAGATGTTGCCTTTACATTAAAATAGTACTGATGAGACAAACCACATCATTTGACTGCACCACAGTAGCATCATGTAAGCAAGCTAGATTTAAATTTGTGTGCAGAAGGCAGTAGTTTTAAGTGTGTGCTGTCTCCTCAAACACTAGATATTCAAAAATGTCTGGGCAAATTTGCCTGTAAAGCCATAAAGAACAGAGAAATACTAAGATACAGCAGAGAACGCGGAAAAAACTGTTACCAAAAGTTGTACAAGAGCAGAATGGAGGAGGGAAACACCACCATGTTCATCATGTTGGGACCATGTCACCATCATACTCCTAGAGTTCCTTAAAGTTCCAAAAGAAAAAATATACTCAAGACAAGACAAGACTGCTACCTTGAGTCATTATGAAGAAAAGCAGCATTTTAAATTGGCATGTTGACCTGCACCTTCTTTCAGCAACCATTCAAGTTTGACGTGCTTCATCAAAAGCATCACTAATGACTTAAGTTCAATGGTAACAAGTCTTACTAACCAGGAGATTACCAAGCAGGAAAGAGGCAGAATCTCTGACTTAAAGTGAGCTAGCATACAAGGAAAACAGTCACACAAAATCCTAAGGAGGGGACAATTAGCATAAAGACAATTGCAAACCATTGCCTCTTTCTCCAGTCAGACCATATTAACCATAATTGAAAACAAGAACATTAAGTAAAGCAAGAAAAGCCACATTTAGTACAAATTAAAGCAAAACAAATTGCAGTGGTGCACACAAGAGACAAGTTAGATGTGATTTCAGTTACAAAGTTTAACCAAGTAAATTAGTATTCTGTATAGTGAAAAAGGCAGAAAACTATGGCTTCAGCTTGGCAGTAAAGAAAGAAGCTATTCAAATTACACTTTATTATTCCTTCTGTTTCTGAACCACACTGTGACAGCAGTGTTTGTTTTTGGCAACAGCTCTTGTTAAAACATTACTTTTCATTGAAAAGACAGCTACCAATTAAATCAAGTCTATCAGATGTGAAGTAAAGCCAACTTTTGTAATATGAAGGTGTTACTTATCTACACCTGATCTTAAAAAATAGCCAGTATGTTTACAAGATATTTACAAAACATATAAAGACACTTTTCAGCCATCCAGGTGAAACAGCAAGTTCTTAACAGTTCTGCTAAGCCAAAAAACCTGAAGTTTAAGACAAGGTACATCACCTACATAGCAAAAATCCATTAACTGTTACAAGTTCTTTTGACAGTCTAACTTCACAGACTGTCTTCAAACCCATACAGTAGGGAGAGCTTTTTAAATTAATCTTTCCTTCAAAAACCTGCTTTAAAATAGGCTTTTGAAACAGTTAAATTGGAGTCTATTATTTTTACAACAGCATCAAGAATTTACATCAAAGCAGCAAAATTTGAATTCCTATCAAGCAGTCTATTTGCATGAGCAAAAGTGGCAATTCATATTTATAGGAGCAGACTAAATGCATGTGATCCACTGTCATTTCAGAGTAAAGCGAAGTTTTTGCTTTGCTCATAACAAATTATCATATTTCTTTTTAGATTCCTATAATATGAGAAGCAACTGTATTCCTACCTGTAGCAAACAGCAAAGTGGGCATAGGCAGCTACTATCCAATTGTGGTGGCCAGCTACTATTAGGACTTTCCGTGGGTCCACAGGAAATCCTAAAGACAACAACAGAGCTGAAGTCAGTCAAGTGATGGGTATTAGACGATAAGCAGAGACATCTATAATAGGATAGAGCTTTCTGCTAGGATATGCAACAGAAACTTTGATAACGAAGTTTCTCAAGAAACATTTTCAGCTAGATTCTGGGTAGCGATATTACTCCTCACAAGCCTTGTAACTATTACAGTTCATGAATGGAAGGAAGACATTTCATCTCACTCACTATGAAGCGAAGTGTTCATAAGGAGAAAAAGGCAAGCACATGCCTCAGTTTTAAAGCCTGCCAAATTGGTAAAAATTTGAGGACTCTTTTCAAATAAGAAACAATGCTTTCTTTTGTAAGTGAGTAAGTGTAAGAACACTAAGTTCTTTCCAAATAGGTGGTGAAACCTTGCATTATTGTTCCAGAGTGTTAAATTGAAATTTCCAATACCTCAGAATACGAATAGCTCCTCCATTCATTATCTAGTGGGAGCATGCCTGTTTCTGATCTATACGTACATTAGGTTTAGCAGAAATGTTGGATGACACTGGAAAGCAGTGGTTATGGTACTTCCCGCGTCAGCTCTCAGCCTTGATATGCTAAAGAACTAATGCCTAAAGACTGCATCTTCTATCTCACTCTCCCCAGGACTGCCCTCTTCCAAACCTGCAGCTACTCGCACAGAAGAATCAGCAATTCATATCCAAGGCTTATTTTTATATTACCTGGGTATAGATTCACCTTTTAACACACTCTAGATTTTCCTAACACTGCTACAATTTATAAGACTATAGCAGAAATACAACACTTTTAACAGCATCACTTTGCTTGCAAAGTCAAAAGCTGGAAAATGAGAATTCAAGCCCATCTTATTTACAGTTTTTATATATTTTATATGAAAAGTACTTTACATAGTCAAACAACTGAAGACTACCTTTACTCTAAAAACTCAACTCTTGTAGGGCAAGGAAAGCAACAGGAGCAAGAAAAAGAAGTGCGAGAGCAGGAAGGAGGTCCTGAACAAAGACCAAAGAGACACCGGTCTGTCTGTTTTTTACTGTGGCATTAGTGCAGTGTAAGGCATTTGTCTAAGGGGCCATACTAATACTGCATGAAGAACTCCGATTTGCCTTTCTCTCAGCCTCATGTCTTGACTGTGCAGCACTGAGCCTTAAATACTATATAGGGAGTAGTGTTTAAGTAAGTATTCAACAATCAGACTGAACCTAGAAATAGTCACTCAGTTTTGATTTCCCAGTAGCAATCATCTTTGCAATTTGTTTTGGCTTTAAAACTGACATTCCTCACCTAGTCTGACTGTACCTTCACCAGTACCAGCAAGTGTAGGTTGGACACCTCCATGAATCTCACTTTCAGAGACATTTTGACCAGTTCTAACATCAGTTGGTGGCCCAGCAGCATTATTTATTTTACGATTGGGAATGCCTACAAAAAAAAAAAGAGATGTTTTGTCTCACTCTATAAACTTTAGCAATATAACAGATATTATCCACTTTCAAAATACAGGATTAATACTTGTCTAAAGTCTTAATGCATCTGCTATAAAAATTAGGCAATACTGTAACACTGAAACAGAAAATGCTTTTCCCATCTACGTTGACATTCACAATTTAAGGAGCTGTCTACAGAAAACTTGTCAGCAACTGGCTAGATATCCCCTAGACTTCAGGTTAACACATGAACTGTGTTTATTCCTACCAGAGAAGTACATATCTAACAAGTCCTCACATTGTTAAGGAAAGCCCATTTGAGGCGATTTGTCATCTAGCCATAAAGTAACTGTACAAAAGCATTCCATGCTGATATTGCTTAACTGAAACATACTTGAAGAACCTCTGCTGTAGTCTACTACCAAACACAGCCTGCTTAGGATAAGCATGCCACAATGCCCTGCCCAGCACACTAAATATGCCATTTCATACAGTCTATAGATAAATGCCTTGTTTTTGAATCAGAATGATCTTTCCATAGGAGAGCCTTCCCTGGACAGTTTGACAGCTAGAGTAACTACCTCAGCCAATAGTCCCCACAAACTAAAGCAATAAGTGACTGCAAGCCCATGAACACAAAAAATACCTGGAGGAGGCAGGTAGCCATGAAAAAGGACACTGCCACAAGATGAGCGTTCCAGTTCTTCACATAGTAGCAATCTTCTCACTAAGGAGGAAAAGCAGATATTACCACAGCTTTTACTTCCTAGGAAACATTACATTATTTCAAATAACCTCTGTATCTCCAGGGTCACAACTGCCCAGGACTTGTAAGTGGTTTATTACTACAGTAATAAATACAAGATTACCTCATATCAAAAAAAAAGTTACCTAAGGGAGTGATTCCATAGAATTCAGCTTCATGCCTGAGAACATTAATACTCACTCCCCTAGAGAAAGAAAAAGAAAAACAACAAAAAACACAAGGCCAAAATGAGTCAATACCTCAAATATAAATACTTGCATGTAACGAGATACTACACAACATGAACATCAAGCTACCTAACATTTAACAGAAATACCACTAAATGCATTCAACATGTTGATGTTTGAGATTTCAAAGTGATTTTAATATTAATTATCTTTCATTAAAAAAAGGATACAGAGATCATAATGAAATACATTGCCAGAAGTGGTTTAGATTACAAGAATCCACTAACAAAATATAATGTTACCATTTCTAGACATGGCCCCAGATCTACCAGGGAGTTGAATCATATACAAGGCACACAACTAGATGAGTAAATCTAAACAATTCTGATTTGAAAAAGTTTTCTAATGCACCTGACCAAATTAATTTTCACTTGAAATAATTAGAACTTCTCACCTTAAGTCTAACTCCTTTGTGCGAAGAAAATTTAAAATGGGCGCAAATGCTGCTGGATCTCGATCAATAAATATCTGCAAAGAAAAGCTGCTGTACTTAAACATTACCATGGAGCAACCATCAACTAAGATGCTTTCCTATGCTGAGCATGGGACAGAGGAGTTGAAGTTGAGGCAGTCAGCAGACAAATATAACCCAAAGTTTTTGGATCTCTCCTTTGCTTTCATTATTCTGCTGCCATCCTCTAATTCAACATTCTTTAAAGACTGCTGCAAATATATGGCACTTAATATACGAGGTTTTTTTCCCCAGAGTCTCCATAAAGGTCAATGGGTACTCTTGACTTTCTATCATCTTCAGAATACAGTAAATGCAGTAAGATCAAGATAATTTTTAAAAAGTCCAAACATACGCTAATTACCATTACAACTACAATCTTAGCAAATTACCTGTGTGCCTTACTATCACTAAACATCTCCATAGCTATAGTTTTCCATATAAGAATATCATATACACAGAGTCAAACGGCAGTTTTTCTATATATATTTGCCAACAAAAGTTACATTTCCATATCAAGATTATTCAACTACATATGCAACAGCTATCTAATGAAAATTACCTCTCTCTCTGCATTACAAGAAGTAGCAGTTTTCCTGTTTAAAAAAAGTAAAGTTGCTGTCTCTACACTGGCTGTACAATGCAGAATGAGCACAAGAATACACACATTGTTCCAGCTTCATTTATCTTGAAACTTCACAAAAGTTTAAACTGACTCAGGCAGTGTAACTCCCATTAGCACCCGCAGTGAATACTCTTTAGGACAGAGCCTAACTGAAAGCATAACACTAAATTAATGAGTTATTAGTAGGTTTATTACTCACAGCACCAGTTTCATCCTTCAGCGTTGAAATTCTTCCACTCAGCAAACTGAAACACAGAAAATCTTCATTAGATATCCCTTAGAAATGTAATAACACAAATACAAGATAGCAACACTCTTGGTCAGTTTGCTCTCTTTGTGTATTGTTGGTTGCATTTTGGTAAAACAGTGCAGCTAAGCAAAGAAAACTGACTTGGTAAGGCAGAATGTTGGGGCCAGGGTGGTTGTGAAGTTACTTTCCTGAACAACAGAGCAGTGCATGCACACCTACGGAAAGGCAAAGAGCTGCATCATAAGAACCTTCGTATTCCCAAAGAAAACAGACATAAGGCCTAGCCTGAAAGATGGAAGAGTTCTCCCAGGCACCTAGAGGGCTGCATAGTTTGTTATAATCTAGTAAATAGGTAAAAACCGCTAAAGTAAAAAGGAAGAGTAAACAATCCATTTTGCAAGGACTTACTGGGCAAGAATGGGGAGGATGAATTTTTTTTTTTTTTTTTAGAACACAATGTTACTACAAAGTTTCTCTCCCATCAGCATCAGGTCAAAGTACTTTTGCTCCAGATTTGTAGAAAATACAACGCCAAAGCCTTGTTTTACAGATAAGAACCAAACTAACTAATAGAAACAGTTTTATTTCAAGATTCCATCCAAGTCTGGGCAACAATTACCTCTGAGATTTTCCAGTACTAGATGACTTTCAGAAAACCTCCTTAGATAGTGTATTTAGTGAGGAAAGATTTGGGAATAGCATGGGACTTTTACCTATTACTGGAGTACAAACAGTAAGCAGCACAACCTACAGAAAGTAGTGACAGAAAAATTAGCAGAAGGACATTCAATAATTCATAGAACCACAGAATGGTTCAGGTTGGAAGGGACCTTAAAGATCATCAAAGTCCAACCCCTCTGCCATGGGCAGGGACACCTCCCACTGGACCAGGCTGCCCAACGCTCTGTCCTTGAACACTTCCAGGGAGGGGGCATCCACAACTTCCCTGGACAACCTGTTCCAGTGTCTCACCACCCTCACAGTAAAGAATTTCTTCTTAGTATCTAGTCTAAATCTACCCTCTTCCAGTTTAAAACCATCCCCCCTCATTCTATCGCTACCTGCCCTGGTAAAAAGACCCTCCCCAGCTTTCCTGTAGGACTCCTTTAGGTACTGGAAGACTGCAATAATGTCTCCTCAGATCCTTCTCTTCTCCAGGCTGAACAGTCCCAGATCTCTCAGCCAGTCCTCAAAGTGGAGGTGCTCCAGCCCTCTGCACACCTCCACTATGAGAACCGGCTGTATCCCAAGTTAAAACCCTCAAAACTTTGAGTTAACTCAGTATACAGCAGTAACTCAAAAAAACATTTAAAGGCAGTGCTACTGTGCACAGTCAGTAACATAACAAGTGGTAACACAGTAATACAGTCAGTGGCATCTCCCCTTCCTGCAGATTTGAGGCCTTATTTCCACAACACTCCATCTAAAAAGTTACAACTCCTCAGCACATATAAGCTGCCATAGCATCATTCAAGACAGAAGATGCCTTTTGGATGGCAGCTGATTTCAAATGAATCTGTTCCACTGCTTGAGATGGGGAAAAAAGCATTAAGGAAAAAACCCCACTATTTAGAGCATAAATTAGGAACTGCGAACATGTATATTTAATAACTGTTAATTTGTCTTTATTTAATGTGATAATGTATCATAAATACCTGGAAAAAAAGGAGTCTGGAATCCACATAAGCGTTTGTCTTGAAGTGCTGAACCTAGAAAACCAAAGTTACAAGTTTAGAATCAGCTGTAAAATTCAAAGGAAGTCTGCTTTATCAAAATACTTTCACTTGTCCTACAAGGCTGGTATCAAAAGAGTTTGGGAAGTTTGAGAACATTTAAATGCCTGCACAGAGTCAAAGAGGTGCAGATTCTTTGCACAGATTGTCCTTAAACAAGAAGCAGGACTGTCCAGAGGCCCCAAAAGTATCATCCTTTATATGTTTGTAACACACTGAGCCAAAGACCCTGCATTTTCTGCTTCTCATACTTTGTCAGCATTAACGCTTGCAAAAAATAATTCTTAAATATGCACAAAAAAGCAGCCACTAAAATATGTTTATTAATAGTGCACTACATTCATCATTAACTGCATGTTATCTTATTTAGGACTCAGAAGGTGCTACAATTTGCACTGCAAAAGGCTATGATAAGCTTCAAGGTAATACTTTACAGTAACTTTAATTATTTGCCATTTGGGCCACCTTAGAGGCCAAAGGTCCCACAATAACAGTTAAAAGAAAGAAAATATTTACTCTGAATCACAATGATATTATGAAATAATACAATTTATAATATTATTTATAATGCTAGACAGTATTTTACACAACAAATATCTATGAACGCCTTTATACTTCTTCTGGTTTTCATTTAACATGAAGGAAGACAACCGGACTGGGAGCTTGCACAACAAGCTTGTGGTCTGCATTAGTTCTCCAACTGTACTTATTCTCTTACTGGTACCATGACTACAAAACCTTTGGTTACATCTTAATTAACGTGAATCAAAAGACGGAAGTGCAAAATCAAAATTCCATGACAACTTTCCATACAATACAGCAATACATTAAAATATGCTTGGAATAAAAGTACTTAATCATAATTTATCTAGTTTTCACTGCTTGCATTTTCCATTTTTTGGGGGGAAAAAAAAAGATGTAAAGAAAAAGCATTACTTTATACCCCCAAAGAGGCAGAAACAACCAAAAACCATAAACAAACCCAAACTCAACAAAAACCTAAAGAAATAAAGGGAATCAAAACAATTTGCTACTTAAATGGAAAGTGACTTCTAAGTATGCTTGCAGTTTTGCACAGCTTTTATCATCAGTAATACAGATCACTACCTTTCTCTAGTTTAAGAGTAAGGGATGATTCATTTAACTATGTTGTAGTATGTGCATTATAGAAAACAAATTTTATCCAAGATTAATCCAGACACTGCTTTTAAATATATGGATAGATGCAGCATTACCAGCACTACCAGTTAGCCCTTTTAAAGGTCTTCGCAAGTTAAAGACTTCTATTATCTGATAATTGAAATACTTTACAACTTTCAGTTATTTTTCTGTTTTTAGAAGAAAAGGAAAAAAAAAACAACCAGAGGACCTATGGTTTCCCAGAAAGGCATACAGAGGTAGAAAGATCCAGAAAAAGTACTAGAATCACAGCTAATTGGCATTTTCTACACCACCAAATAACTGCTAAATTAATTCTGAAGCAATAAAGAATGATATGACCATGAAAGCATTCACAGAATCACAGAATCACAGAACGTTAGGGACTGGAAGGGACCTCAAAAGATCATCTAGTCCAATCCCCCTGCCGGAGCAGGAACACCTAGATGAGGTTGCACAGGAAGGCGTCCAGGCGGGTTTTGAATGTCTCCAGAGAAGGAGACTCCACAACCTCTCTGGGCAGCCTGTTCCAGTGCTCTGTCACCCTCACTGAGAAGAAGCAATATGGTACCAGTTTAGTAAGCAATACTTCATACTAACATATACTTTACAACTTTGAATACATATACAGTAATTTATGTAAACAAGTCCTGCTTTCTAAGATGCAGAAAGAAGCTTAGCTAGCAACATTTACATGTATAAGTCTACCTGCAGCACCATGCAGCTAACATGCAGTCGTCAGACAGACACTTTATGAGGAAGATTAGGCAAACCCAGTACAATATCCTCAAATGGTCTTAAGCAGGAGGCAGCCTACAGTTATTTCAAAGAAAATACAGGCAACCAAAAACAGGCACACCTAAGCATCGGTTATAAAATAACCATTTTCATAGTCTATTGTGTTTGCAGAGTTACTTAGAAGCAGAGGGAGATAAAGGGTCAAGAGAATTCACTAAATTTCTTAGAGTAACTTCTGGGAATGTTAACTTGCAAGAGGCTTGTGCTCCTAGCAAAGGAATCCACAAAAGTTGAGACCACGAACTGTTGGATCAACACAGTAAAGCAGCTCTGGCAGTCCCAAGGAGCAGCAGGAACCTCGTGGCAGAATACGGAAATCTGGGGTCGCTGTAATAGATGCTGCCCTACTTAAAAGGGAAACATTCGTGCACACATTTCCTACTCCTTTCATCCAAATGATACCTGTTGAGTAGAATCTAGATCATCAACTAGGAATTAAATTCATACGATTGTTAGTTTGTCTTACTCTTCATACTACTCTGTGTAGGCAAGCCCTCTGACGATGTATGTGTGTATCTTCCCCAATTCATGCCCTGTACATAATTCCATTCTCTGCAGAGGCATTTAATAAGTATGATCTATTAAAAATTATGAGATTGGAGCATCTTTGTGATTGCACTTGTAATAGAAGCCTAAAGATGAACTGGCCTATAATTTCAGAGACACACTGAAAAGCCTTAAGCAGTACAACATGAAATCTGGTTCAAGCCAACATCAAAGTTATCCTGAAAGCATCATTATAGGTGAGTTTTGCAAGTGCACACAAGCAGCAAGTTACAAGCAAGCTTCTCTTGGCTAAGCCAGTTCCTTAATGTCGTATTATAACAAAGGAATTCTGCATTGATTTTTATGGTACTGTCCTTTAAGAAATGTTGAAACATACAATATCCTTTTAAGAAAAAGTTAATCTTCTGGGTAATGTAAGAAAATTCTTAAAATAGTAGTAGTTGCTCGTACTACTTATATCTGATTTCACACTGTGTGCAGACTCAGCAAGACACATTACTTCAGTTTCCATTAGCTACAGTAATTTGAATTATTTAATGCCTGAGCATTTCAACAGGAGCATTTGCACTGTTTATCACACAGATTCTGACCACAGCTGTCCCACAGTTCTCTATCTTGGCCTGCCAAAATGTCCACATCTTCCACACTTCCAGCGGACATTCAAATACAACAAATTCACTATTCTGGTTGATAGCAGCAGTATCATATCAGCCTTCTTAATACCTTAGTCTCCGAGGCTGCTGAATAGACGGATTACTAGAAGTCTACGGCTCTGATGGCAAGCTCTCTATCCTCTTCTCCTAAAGCAGCAGCAGTATAGCCAGAGGGTCCATAAGACACGCTGCTGGAGTGCGTACCTAGAAACCCCAGACATTGCAGGCAGACACCAGGCAGGCCTGCCAACGCTTCCCACACTGGCTACCCCCGGCTCAGCTCCCCTCCAGCACGCTGGGTGAAGCTTTACTCAGCCCCTCCCGGAGGGCAGCACCACGTCCGGGACACGGAGCCCCGGCAGACAGGTCCCAGGCGAGTCGGCACCACCGCCCACCCGGGACAGACTGGCTGCGGGGCCAGCCCACGACTCGGCACGGCCGGATAATTTCCCTTAGGGCAGAGTCCCAGCAGGGGCCGGCCGCACGCAGCGCGGCTCCCCGCGGTCCCCTTCGGCGCTCCCCCTCGCTCCGATGCCCACCGGTATGCGCTGGCCGCCGC